CAGACATTCACATTATCTAATACTACTTTCACTACACTACGAGGTAGATAATTGTTTTAATTAAAAGTAGTTAAAATTTGTTCAAAGACTTGCCTACAATCACACAGCTAGTAACTAAGCTAAAACCTGAACTTCATATTCCATGATCCTTCCATGACCCCACTAAGTTAAAAATAGAGCAATTACCCATAAAAGCCCAAATTTCTCATTTTTAAATCAAACTACCTTACCAAGTATGTGTGTATATATAAAATACATAAATGCACTATATGCCTATACACATAAACACACATATCTATTTGTTTGAATGAGGAAAAACTTTAAATTCAAGCTGACACTCCTGAAGCTTTAATAATTCCACCAATATTACAGACCTTAACTACATAACACAATAACAATAAAATAGAAAAACTAAAAAATGTGAACTACATTTCTTGAGAGATAGTTACCTTTGGCTTCCCAAATACAAGTAGAAAGTGAAAATATTCTCTATTTTAATACGACTATTTCCTTAGTAATAAGTAATTACTAACCCAAAAGAGATCAGTTTTGGATATATCACAAAACAGGTTCCATTATGAGACCCCTAGGAAGAATGTAGAAACAGGAGACTGTAGCTGTGTGCAGTAAAACTGCAGGTCAGCCCCAGTAATCATTGGGGGGAAAAAATCAGCACTGTCACGTGTAGGATTATATAAGGCAGAGGGACTACAAATTTCTCCAGAACCATGAAACGCCAACTATCTCAGGGCCCTGTCATGTAGCCCAGCTAAGAGGAAAAAAAAAATTTTTTTAAGAATGGCAGAAGGGATATTACCAATTCATTTCCCAAATTTAAATCGCAATGTTAGCCAGGACTCCTGATTCATACTACGGTATTGTAATGAAATACAATAATTATTGAGTCCCTAAGCCTTTAGGGGCATACACACATTATATTGTATACACTGTATATAATAAATTATGAGAAGTATTAATCATCTGTTCGTGCTGTCAAGGATGATGTGCTAAAAAAGAGCAAATGAAGCAATTATATGTCCAATTACTGATGAAATTTTACACATACCAAATAGTAATAGCAAATAGTTGTAATATGATAGTAAAATTTAGATCAACTAAGTGCTGAAGAGAATCTCATTTTTAAAAATTTTCATTTCAGTAGAGGAAAGAAATGACTTGGAGAAAGAGAAAATGGTTTCGGAAAAGATATAGCATGATGGGGTTTTTTTGATTGGAGGTCAGGGACTGGCTAGAAAGGAGACTCTGCCCACAGAGAAAACAGAAGCAAGAGATCTGCTTCGTGCTTGCAGAATACCCTCGTGACCCAAGGTATCTGAGTGACATGCTGCATGAAACACAGGAGCAGCCAGCAACTCGTTTGAGTGAAGGATGCATCCTGTACTTTTCCCCAGATAGCTTGAGGGCATCTCTTTCCAGGCATGAAGAATCAATAGCAGACACAACCTCTCCACAGAGTAGCTTTGATATTTCAAAAGGAAGTAGGTTCTTAAGTAGTAGAACCCAAAGACTGGAATATGCACACCTATCCCTAGTTAGAAGTAAGCAAAAAAGAAGCTTGGCTTTCAAAATAATTTGTTTCCCACAATAGCAAATATAAATATATAAAAATAAGATTGGGGTCATATCCTATAGAGCAATGAATCATTATGCAGAAATGACTGAGATTCATTTTAATTTCTTCCTACAACATCTAAAGGAATTCAAACACTGAAAGGATATCTCAAAAATATAAAACACTTTGCAAGTCACGCATTTAAAAATAATAAGGGTAAACAAAAAGAATATTTCATTTTCTAATATATCAGGAAATAAGAAATGATCTGGAAGCTTCATTTACTTTCCAAAATTAAAGGTTTTTCCATATCTTTTGGTTAGAGCATAAACAAATTTGGGAAGTAAGATTGATCCTCACATCTTTGAAAATTACAATGAGTAAAAGCATTACTTGCTTTTAAAGTTAACTTAAAATTGAAATTAATGGTTCTACTAAGCATGAATATATGTTGTATATACACATTGTATATATATATATGTATATGTATATGTATATATATACACATATATATATGTACAATATATATATATTGTACATATATATATACACACACACACACACACACACACACTATATAACACATCTCAGGTTTTCTGTAACTATAAAATATTTTAATTAAGTTATTTTTTTCTATTATCAGGAAATTATGTTAACCTAAAAACTAACTCCTGAAATAAATGGATAATTCCATCTATTGGTTTTCTCATAGTATTAGAAACTTTTCCTCATTCCAAATATCCTTCAGTGCGCCATCAGTGTATCAGTGTACTACCACAGTGGTGAGTTAGGAATTGATATTCTTTTTTTTTTTTTAAATATAGTTGATTTACAATGTTGTGTTAGTTTCTGGTATAGAGCATAGTGATTCAGTTATATATATATATATATATATATATATGTATTCTTTTTCATTATAAGTTATTACAAGATATGGAATGTAGTTCCCTGTGCTATACCTTAGGACCTTGTTGTTTATCTAAGGAATTGATATTATTAAGATTAACAAGACCAAAGTATTATTTTACTTAAAGCTACAAGTATAAAAATTAAACTGATATTTAAAACAAAAAATGAAAAAAATGAACTAAAAAATCAGTCAGGAAAATCTATTTTTTGCAATAAGGAATTAGTGAATATATTAAATACATAAGAAATACATCAAATGGAAATGTTTAAAACATATCTTTCTATGTTTACATGATGAAACATAGCTAAGCGTTCCTATTCAAGTTATTTATTCCAATAATATTGGACTGTGAGACACAATTACGGTTGTAGTGCCCTCTGCTGGGCTTCCCAGTCAAAAACTCAATCTATTATCACAGCGTAAAATCAAACATTTGAGACATCAAGTGAAAAATCACTTTTTCAATCCTAGATCTTAAAGTGATCTTAAAGCCTTGGCAAAGATTATATAAAAGTTATAATCAATATTTACTATATTGTAACAGTACTTTACAAGTTTATCATTAAGTTGAAATATCATTATAGATTTTTCTTAAAAGGAGTTAAAAGTTACACTGAACATGTTTTAATAGGACTTTTAATCATGTCTTCTATCATTTGGTAATGTAGTCAGGTTTCTAAGACTATATTTACGATAAGACATTTTAATAAGTTACTATTTTGGTAATTTGATCTATTTTTCCTGCTTGGTTAGTTCAATCAAAACAGTTTATTTTAAAACATTAGAATAATCCTTAATAGTATTATCTTCATTATTAGAAAAAAGCTGAAAAGTTTTCAAGGTAGTCATCACCAGTAACAATTTAAAAAGAGCTTCCATTTACTGAGTATCAGCTATGAGGGATGCAGTATATGTCATAAACTTTTTATACATTATATGCAGTTCTAAGAGATGAAAAAAAGTTGAACTTCATGGGGATGATATAAATTGCTTCAGATTAATTCAGAACCAAGACTCAAATGTAGGTTCGTCTCATTCCAAAGATTAAAACCTTTCTACCAAACAATAGACAGCAGTGAAAAAAAACTTTTCACATGCAGTTTCTCCATTTGTCAACACAACAACAGCATGGAGCACAGGGTAGACAAGTTGATGGGGAAAAATGTTACAGAAGTAAAAGATAGTCATCCATGTATAAAACAATAGCTTAGACCTTTAGGAAAATATTTTTATTTTACATAATGCTGCCAGCTAGTGGCCCTATTTCATACTGAGCCACTGGGAACAACACTTGATTTTTACACTACCAAATCAAAAAATCCACATTTTTAGGAACATTCTAGGATCATGTTCCTAAATTACATATGCATAAGCCTGACAGTGATACTTTACACAATGATCTTTACCACAGAGCTAAAGGACAAAGTCTCCTCAACCACCAACTTGCCCCAATCCCCAGTAAAGACACTGGGGAAGAATTCAGCAAGTGCCAACATGTAGAGATGACAAGGTATACCTGTCACTACCTGTGAAAAAAAAAACCTACATTATTTTAAATATATTAGGATAATTTTAGGATATTTATAGATTCCTTAGGACAAAATACATAAATATTTTTCTGTACAATCAAAAGCTTGCCATAATGTGGGCATAAGAACAAAATTATTGCCTAAATATTGTTGGAAATTATTCTGTGCAGATCTAAAATTAGCATTTGATAATGTAGTACTGTTAGCAGAGTATGTTATTTTAGTTCAGACAATAAGTAGTTACAGTGGTAAAATTTTCTTTGAGAAGAAAAGTACTTAAGTGTAATTTTTACATTTAAAATGGTCACATTTCATTGATAATTGACTACTTTAAGAGAAATAGCTTATGCAACACACATAAAGGAGTAGACAGCTTCGACCGTGGTATGTTGTTTAACACAGTGATACAAAGATATTCTTGTTTGATTTCTCTCATTAGACTATGTAACTATTTCAATGATTTTCTCAGTGGAGAATTCTATCATGACTTAATCAGAGGCTTAGATGAAAATATATTCTATATAACATTATAATAATGTATAAAACAAAAAACATCCTGATATTAAAATACACTAGCAGCGAGGAAAACATGTTCTGGATTTATTCTGTAGTGAACGAAGGAAGTAGCAAAAAGTAGAAAAGCACACGCCCAAAAACACAGCAAGAAGGGAGAGAGCCCCTCTGCCAGACTGACTAACCGAGAAGGTCAAAATGGAGCATGAAACAAAAGGGATAGAACTGGAGAATCCAGTGTTCCTTCAGGCCTACGTTCTGTCAAACACATACACACAAAACTGCCGAGGAGAAACCTGCTTTATCGCATTTAGTACGTGCACCTTATATGAGGCTTATCTTGCAGCTAAAAACAGCCGAAGTTTTGATTATACACACACTCACGCTAGTCAATAAAATAAACATCAGTAAAAAAACAATTAAAAATTCACTTAAAACACTAAAAATATTTCTACACAGTGAGAATATAACTTACAAACATTTCCTGTATTGTCAAAGCTGGTAAGAACATCTTCAACATTCAAGGATCCGTTATTATGCCTGGAAAGGAATAAAACATTCTCTTTAATGATTCTGAAATATTAACATTTATTAATTTTTTTAAAAGATGAGACTATGCATTGTGATACATCCAATACTAGTAAACTGTTTCATGTTGTTTTTTAAAAATATTTCTGCCCACTAGAGGGAGAAGGGACAGAAATAACAGAAAACAATCTTTGGGATATTTAATGTAATATTTCTTGATGATTAATCTACATTTTAAAGTATGCATAAATATTTTATGGTTGCTGTTTTAGTTATAAAATGTGAGATAAATTATTAACTTTCTTAAAAACAATATTTTACACTTTGATAATCTCAAAAGAAAAATAATCAACCTCCATAACCATACTCCAAAATACACAAATGCCCTTTAAAATGGTCCAGCAAATTCAGAACTTCAGTCACAAAGAACTAACCAACCTTCAGGCCTGTACATTCCATTTATAGGCTGTTCTGAATGTCAGAGGACAATGTTTCACATCTTGCCCACTGATTTTAATTCTATTCCTTGTAATTCTAATCTCCTTCTACTTGACAGCCCTATAAATATTTAATTCAATTACTAATATTATTAGTAGAAAAGATATTATTCTTCATATACAAATGGACCAAACTGTCAATAGGTCATAAGGCCTAAGTTACTTTTCCAGCGGTAATAAAAAAAATTTTTTAATTGGTGCTAATGCATCTACAATCTTCTACATTCTTCCCTATATACTTACACCTGTAGTTCCTTAGGTTGTTGTAATAATTTATAATAACTATTAATAATTCACAATAAAATTTATTTTGTCAATATTACTTTGTCATTAAAACTTATCATGAACAATGTATATAGTGTTATGGGCTGAACTGTGTCTTCCCCAAAAGTCAAATGTTGAAGCCCTAACCCTCAAAACCCCAGAACATGACTGTATTTGGAGACAGGGCCTTCAAAGAAAGAATTAAGTTAAAATTGGGTCTTAGGGTGGGCTCTAAACCAATATGACTTGTGTCCTTACAAGAAAATGGAGATGAGGACACACGAGACAACAGGGCACATGCACAGAGAGACAACCATGTGAAGAGGCAGCAAGAGGGCAGCCACCTGCAAGTCAAGGAGGGAGCCCACAGATGAAACCAAACCTGCAACACCTAGATCTAGGACTTCTAGACCCCAAACTGTGAGAAAATTAATTTCTTGTTTAACCCATCCAATCTGCGGTGTTTTGTTTTGGGAGCCCTAGCAAGCTAATATACACAGTAAGAGAATACACGTAAACTGTATTACTCTTTTCAGAAGAACTTTGATTTCTATCACAGAGAAGCAGTTCTTTGAGTGACCAAGTGAGAATACAAAAAGTCATTTGCAATAATCACTGGCCCGATAACCATTAGGCTCAACAGTATCATAATCTAGGGCAATGAAGTTACCACAAATCCAACTTTCATCATCACAACATAATGATTCTGTATCTTCTCTGTGGATGCGAGATTATAGGCATAGAAGAGGTTATTTACACTAACATGGAAAACTATAGCATACATATGAGACAAGAAAAGAAAAAGAACAAAGCATTTATATATAAAAAATAAGGTGAAGCTATTAAAATGATCAGCAATATGGCATAGAACTCAAAAAACTTCTTCCTAAATGTAAAAGCAATATACAGTTTCCTCAAGTAAAAAATGCCCATAATCCTATCATGCAGAGATAACCACAGTTAATATTTTGGTATACAGCCTTCAAATTTTATGCTATGCTCATACACCTATCATTAAATTATTGAAAGCAGAGTGTCCATACTGTTTTGCAATTTGTGTTTTTTCATTTAACATATTAAAAAGTTTAACACATCATTAAATATTCTCCTGCAACATGATTTTAATGGCTGACAAATAGTCCAATGAATGACTGCACCATAATTTATTGAACCAACACCTTATGCTGAAGTTTTAGATTATGGCTACTTTTGTGCTATTATGCATATTGCTTCAATGAACATCCATGTAGAAACATCACTGAGCCTTTTCTGATTATTTTCTTAGGATAAATTCCTAAAAGTGCAATTGCTTTGTGGTCTAATTTTAATATGGACATTCTCTCATTTACGTGTTCTCTCTCTCTCAAATCAGGATGAAATAGACATTTGAAATGAAACCTGAGACAAGACTAAATATAAAGGTGCATATATTTTTCAAGAGGTTAAATATTTCTAAAAAGCAAAAACTGGGATAACTGAAGTGAAATGCATGTTTAAAAGTTAAAAGCAGTATTCAAACTATAATGTGTGACACAAAACTTGTCTTCCTGAAAGCACTATTCTTGAAGCCAAGAAACAGAAAGTACACTCTATCACTTTTTTTAATGGGATCAGGGGTGGAAAACCAGTAAAATTAATCCTAAGCCTCTAAATAACTTACAAAAGTGAAAATCAATTATCTATGAAGTCTGTAGAAACCCTTAAAGATGGCATCTCATGAAAGAATAATGTCAACAATCATCATTTTCAGTGGTACAAGAATTAGTGCTTAATTACAGGAAAACTGCCATGATGTGTGTGGTAGTGTAGTAAAGATTCAGTTTATTTCAAGTTCCTTTTCATTTGCCTGAAACTCAAGGACTATTCTCTGTTCAGTGAGTCATCTACTTTATTCAAGTGACAGCTCTTAAGTTCTTGCTTACCCTTAATTTTTCAATTGTTTTCCTATGTCCTGCCTAGACAATGTGGTTAGATATTAACACCTACAAGGAATGGACCTTATCAAACATCAGTCTAAGCATTATACTTAAAATTAATATTATATAACAATGACAACTTTTTGCTAAGGTATCCATTGCATAAAAAGTTCACTCTTAAACTCTAAAGCGTTAACCTGTTTCTCAAGCCTTTAAATATTCGTATGACAAAAAAAAAATTATGTGACATGATAGATTAGCTAGTCATATGGTGATAATCATTTTACAACATATAAATATGTCAAATCAACAAAATGTACACCATAAACTTCCACAAGGTTACACGTCAAATACATCTCAATAAAGCTGGAAAAAAATCTATCAATAGCAAGTTTCTTCCTCCCAAAGCCAACCAATTTTCTTCCAAGGCACCTAAAGCTATGCTAGAACTGAGAACCTTTGAGTTTCTCCTAAGAATGGCCTATGAAATAAGGACAAAGAAGCAAGTCACTGGGGCAAATAATTATTTGAAGACAGAGGGAAAAAAAAGAAAAGCTACTAGAGAAAAAATTGAAGCCTGAAGGTATCAATAGATTGAAACTAGAGGTTAAACACAAGCCCGAGCTATTCTCAACAAAATATTAGCAAACTGAATCTAACAACACATCAAAAAGATCATACACTATGATCAAGTTGGATTAATCCCAAGGACACAAGGATGGTTCAACATATGGATATCAATCAATGTGATACACCACATCAACAAAAGAAAGAAAACCACATTATCATCTCAATAGATGCAGAAAAAACATTTGACAAAATTCAACAAAACTTGAAGTGCCTCAGGCACTTTTATGGTTTCAAATATCATGGGAGTCTTCTAAAGCTCTCAGAATATGCAAATTCCTACTGCACTAAAATAAAGTTAAAATATGGGGATGGGGAACAATTTCTAGTATCTATACAGCTATTTCTATACAATAACAAATTGCAGCATATAAGATAGGGAGAAGGAATTTTTAATGAAAGATTTTTAGTATAAACACTTACTGGTATATATTTGTTTTCTAAACATGCATCTGTTTAATAGCAAGAGTCTCTTTTATAAAGTTATAAGAAATGAAACACTAGAAAATCAAGAAGACTTTGCTAAGGAGTAAAGTAGGAGTCATACCCTGGATTTTAATTTACTCTGAACACTCACTCTGAAACAAAGAGTGGACCATCCTCAGATATATAGAAAAGACAACAGATATTGTGGAATTCATAACCTAACTTCTACATTGTCCAGATTTTTGCTTCTGATGAAAAGTCACTAAGAGAAATTCTTTATTCCTTCATCATGTAAAGCTGACAGAAAATAATGATCAAATTTTAATTTAGGTCACTGTTTATATACTTTTTAACAATATAAACGATATACAACTATGGTCTTAGAATTCACAATATCTAGTTATTTACCCTCTTAGGGTATTCATTTCCAGTCTAATAAAACTTTAAAGGAACATAAATCTTTAAAGGAACTTTAAAGGAACGAAAAATACAGAGGATGATGATGGTACTCCATTTCAAAACTACTTTCTAATCACTACTTTTGGCTATTACACGTAATTTTTTTAAACTTCATAATGTTCACAATTCAAATAACTGAAGAAAATAGATAAATGTAGCTAAAGAAATGTCATGGAAACACATTGATAAAAGAGTTATCTGAAATATTAAAGGAACAAGAATGGAAATTCATGTTGGGCAGATAACAGTAAACAAGGAGAAGTTGTAACCATAAGAAATCAATGTGAACAAAATTGGCAATGGAATGGAATGAACTGTTCTTGGCAGAAATCCTCCCTTACCTAAGCAATTTCAGTAGTATCAGTGATTCCTAAATGGTAACAGGATTATGGAGTAAAAAGTGGAATGCTCAGAATAACCAATCAGGAAATCAGTTTATCTAGGGCTCAATCCCTTCATCTGAAAAACAAATAGATGGATGCGTGATTGCCTCATGAGAAGCAGGATGTATAGAAAAAGAAGCATAGGTGGGGACTATCATTATATAAGATGTAACCAAGGGAGAGAGCTAGGTGAAGGGTACATAAAACTCCTTGTACTATTTTTGCAACTTCCTGAAAGTCTGTAATTATTTCAAAATAAAAGTTTTTAAAAGTACAGGCGTGGAACCAGATCACCAGGGTTTGAATAGGGGCACAATTATTGGCTGTGTTACCTCAGTAAGTTATTTAACCTCTTTGGGCCTCACTCTTCTCATTTATAAAATGATAATAAAAACAGTATTTACCTCATAAGATGCTGTGTGAATTAAATGAGCTAATACATGTAAACCACTCACAACAGTGCTTGTCACATAGTAGGCACTCAATTATCAGTCATTATTAATGTTATGATTACTTATTCAGAATTCAGAATCAGCTCTAGGATTCTGAATGTTTAAGCTATCTTATTTTTACACTACTGATGTGAAGAGATATTAATTAGTTTGAAAAAACAACAAAAAATTGGTAGCTATTGTGGTCAAAATTTTAGCTCAGTCATCTATCTTCTCTCTATAAACTAGAATTTGATGACATATTTATTCTTTCAAAAATGGATATATCACAAAGAACCAGGCTATTGGAGAGGAGTCTAAGTTTAACCACTCTAGCCTGGGTTCCTGCTACATCAGGGTCATCTTCACTCCGTCAGGTAGAGAACCCTGCCTTATTTTGAAAGCTCTCAAGAAAAGAAGATTTCACACTTTTCTCTAGCTAACCTTTGCAGGGACTTGAAGATGTCAGGAAGTCATTCTTGGTACAGTTTATACTTGTTGCCTCCTGTCACAGTGGATATAGAAGATGAGTTCTAGAACTTTATACATGAAGACCCCTGCTGGACCACTCTGTTTCTCCTTCCCTTTGATTTCCTTATAGATACCATCTTCTAATTGTTACATCATCTTCATCCCTACTTCATATAGTTATTTGAAGATGTACATAAATCAGAACACATCAAAGCACCTAGTACATTCCTGGCATACAGTAAGCATTTAGTAAATTTTTTTTCTTTCCTAACCAAGGACTAAACTAATTACCTCCAACAGAATGTCAAGCAACTGAGGTATTCTAATTAGAAACTCATAATGAATGTACAGGCAAGCTCACAAATCCCGAAATTTTTATCTTCTATTTAGTTTTCAATAAACCAATATTATGAAACCAGATCCTAATTGTACTGCCTTGCCCATCCTAGTCAATTTTTATCCAAATCTCAAATTTTAAGCTGTTATGGTATCTTTTAAAGCTTAGATCTCTTAAATTAAAATAGTTCAAGAAACATATGCTATAAATAGACATCCTTTGTGAAAACTTTTTTTCTTAAAATTATTCCTAACCTTGCCTAAACTGTATTCAGTCACATTTCCACTTAAAATGTTTTTTGCTCTTCTTACATTTACTGTAAATGTGCTCCTCCCTCCCTTTCAAAATGTGAAATCTTGTCAAAAAAGGTAGATTTTATAAAATCAAACACCTGCAGTAATACTGCAACATGCTAGACTTGTGAGAGAAAATTAATTCAGTAAAAATCGTATCTTGTTACTGTAGTTTGCAACTCTCTTATCTCTTTTCTAATGATTGTTAAAGCCAGGACAGTCTGTATGCGTCTCACGATATCAGTGTTTTTGGCTAAACTTCCTTCTCCTAGTCTTAGGATTCTATTCTGAAAGTAACAAAACATGAATGGGAAAAATACAAGGCTTGATTTTTGAAATACCTACTACTGGAAGAGCAGCTTGGGAAAATTCTGTTTTCACTTTTAGCCTTCTTCGCCTCAAAAAGAACCTGGCTTCTTGTCGTAAACAAATGCTATGAGAAAATGGTTAAATGAACCCTCTGATTTGCAACCCATTTTATCGTCAAATGCCGCTACATTCCTGAGAATGCTTTTTCTTTAGTTCTGAGAATACAGCAAGACCCAGTTAAGCAGCAGGATTTCCAAACACAAAGTTGCAAAACCTAAATTCTGATTAAGACTGCCTGTGAACTCAAAAGAATGAACAATGAGATTCTTATTAGATTGCTTTTCTTCTACAAAAGAAAAATACTTTTAAAAATATCTTAACTATAGTGATGTTTACCTTAAGGAAATACTGTATTCAGGATAGAAGACACTTGTATATTGGACCCAACCACCAACTTCCTCTTCAGTGTCCCCTTTTTTTGCTTCTGTTACTGAAAACAGATTAAATGATTCAAATCTTCTTACAGATATATGCCGTAGATGATCATCCAGATGTTTCTGCCTCAGAACCTTTGAAATAAAACCAAATATTATGGTCATATTATATAAATTAAGTTTTCAAAGTTTAAGTGGTAAGGGAATTTTCATTTCCAATAATAGAAGATTAGATAATTCAGACCAATATCTTACTGAAGACAACTAGAAAAGATGTACAAAATATTTTAAAACATTACTGGGAGGCATCAAAGAGCAAAGAAGATAGTGAAGATCTACCAGTCTAGGATCTTTAAAAGGAGGTAATTCTAGAGAGGTGAGCCTGGCTTTCGCAACCACTTTTCTTGTGAGACGTTTGTCAATTCCTCGTGCTTAGCATACATGAGTTCCTGGGTTCAATTCCCAGCCCCTCCATTAAAAAAGGAGACAAATAAAAATAAATATAAAATAAATTTAATTATCTCCCCAAAATGTAAAATATAGGTAATATAAATTGTCTTAGATCTTGTCCAATTAATGCCCAAAATATAAATGCCTTTTTATACTAATTCAATTACTCTAATGTCAAGGTAATGTCATAAGTCACTAAGGTAAAAAATAATTTGTCACCACATGTACAACATTGGAAGGTGCTTCTACGGTTTAGTAAATCCTATCATCTACAATATGACAAGGTGATACTCAGTGAAAGAAATAGGCAATATATTTAGAATAAATAAAAGGAAACATTTCTTTATGTAATTTATATTGAGTAAAGGTAATCACAATCAAGATCAAATCAAACTACTTTTGATGTTTGTTTTTAAAGATTCAGTTATTTTTAAGGCCATCAATAATATTTGTAGCTTTGTGATTTGAGAGGATACTGAATTCTCCCAGCAAGGTATAATCTTATCACTTACCCTTTAAGAATTTCTACTTCTAAGCCCCTATGTATATAATTAAACAACATTAAAATGGGGTTATCAGGGGTGAAAGAACATGCTCAAAGTCAAGGCATTTTTTCATCCCTGTAAATCAATGAGCTATTTAATCAAATATCAATGTTATATTAAATAAGTTTATGTCCAAATATTAAATATCTTAAATTAAAAAAAAAAGGCACTTAGTTCTAGGCCCATCAAGTAAACAATGTATGCAACAACCCAATGGAAGAAACCCAAATACTGGTTTGTTCCAGAACTAACTAAATTGAACATAACTATGCTGGAACCCTAATAACCAATATTCTACTAAAAGCAGAGTCACTCAGAAAATAAGTAAGGGTACTGGAAAAGGGAGAACCTGTCTCTCAACAGTTACATGAGTGTGAGCACTTTTATAAGACAAGAATAACAATGCTTACTTTGCAGCTTCTAATATAGTACCTGACAGACAACAGCTGTACTGACTGCAAGGCTTTTGTGAAAACTGGGTAAGACAGTGTATGCTACATGGAAAGTGTCTGATTTGGAGTAGGTGCTCTATAAATAGTTAACTAACTTCTGGTGAAAAGGGCAGACAGAACACACACAAAATCTGAAAATGAGTAGAGGAAACCTCATTCAAAATTGGAGTCAGCATGTAAATCAATGAAGTTAGAACACTCCCTCACACCATACACAAAAATAAACTCAAAATGGCTTAAAGACTTAATTATAAGAGAAGACACGGTAAATCTCCTAGAAGAAAACATAGGCAAAATATTCTCTGACATATATCTTAGCAATGTGTTCCTAGGGCAGTCTACACAGGCAATAGAAATAAAAACAAAAATAAATAAATAGGACCTAATTAAACTTATAAGCCTTTGCACAGCAAAGGAAACGATAAGCAAAACAAAAAGGCAACCTAAGGAATGGGAGAAAATATTTGCAAAAGATGAGACTGACAAGGGCTTAATTTCCAAAGTATATAAACAGCTCATACAATTTAATAATAATAAAAAAAAACCCAATGCTAAAGTGGGCAGAAGAACTACACAAGCAATTCTCCAATGAAGACATACAAATTGCCAATAGGCACATGAAAAAATGCTCAATATCACTTATTATCAGAGAAATGCAAATCAAAACTACAATGAGGTATCACCTCACACCAGTCAGAATGGCCATCATTAAAAAGTCCACGAATGATAAATGCTGTACAGGGCGTGGAGAAAAGAGAACCTTCCTACATTGTTGGTGGGAGTATAGTTTGGTGCAGCCATTATGGAAAACAGTATGGAGATTCCTCAAAAGACTAAAAACAGACTTACCATATGATCCAGTAATCCCAATCCTGGGAATATATCCAGAGAGGACCTTAATTCAAAAAGATATATGTATCTCAATGTTCATAGCAGCACTATTCACAATAACCAAGACATGGAAACAACCTAAATGTCCATCAACAGATGACTGGATAAAGAAGTTGTGGTATATTTATACATTGGACCCCTACTCAGCCATAAAAAAAATAATGCCACTTGCAGCAACATGGATGGACCTGGAGAATGTCATTCTAAGCAAAGTAAGCCAGAAAGAGAAAGAAAAATACCATATGATATCACTTATATGTGGAATCTAAAAAAAAAAGATAAATGAACTTATTTACAAAACAGAAACAGGCTCACATAGAAAACAAACTTATGGTTACCAGAGGGGGAAGGGGGTGGAAAGGATAAATAGGGAGTTTGAGATTAGTACATACTAACTAATATACGTAAAACAGATAAACAACAAGTTCATACTATATAGCACAAGGAATTATATTCGACATCTTATAGTAACCTATGGTGAAAAAGAATATAAAAACGAATATACGTCTGTTCATGTATGACTGAAACATTATGTTGTACACCAGAAATTAACATAGCATTGTAAACTGACTATATTTCAATTAAATACACACACACACACACACACACACAAATGGAGTCCGTAGACTTGAAGGGGGAGCTCTCACCTGAGAATCACTCAAGGCAGTTTACTTTATGTACCCCGGCAGGAAGAAGGAAGATTTTCTCCCTGCCCCACAACAACCCAGCCAATGAGAAACCACAACTCAATGAGAAACTTCCACATGCCTGAACTCTGGCTCTCCTCCAATGAACTTTCCGTCAAAAGAGCCCCTACCAACTTCCTCCTTTCTTCAATAAAAGAATACTCATCTTCTCTGTTCTCTGGATTTGCCTATTTCTCACCAGAGCCTGCAGACCCAGAATTGTATTTCTCTGCTATTCCCTGATATGAAAAATGTTCTGAAGATAATCGTGGTCACTGTAAAAGAAGTTTAAATACAGAAGAGTAAAAACTCAAAATTCTACCATTAAGGGAAAGCACACTGTTAAACATCCATCTACACACATACATATAGGTATGAATAATTCTTAAAGAGTTCATACTATACATACTGTTTACATCCTGTTTTAGATTGCTTTCTTTAATATTGCAAAAATCAGCTTTTTGATGAAGGTACTGTGATGATCTCACTTGCACACACATTTTTGCATATTTATCCAGTATGTAAGCTATGTTTAAATGTTAAAAATATATCAAATTCTTTGTTAGGGAAACATAAAATAATAGTATTGGAAAATAAAAAAATGAACTGATTTCTAACCCTGGAAAATAATTTCACTTTAAAATAATCAGAGATGGAAGAGATCTTAAAGAAATCTAGTGCCACTCCGGCATTTATAAATGAAAAAACTGAGGTCCAAACAGTTTGCTCACCATTATACAAATAGTTACTGGCAGATCTGAGCCTAAAATCAAGTTGTATTAAATTCTATTTCAGAAATCACACTGCCTCTTTCCACACTGATTGTCTCAACTATGTAGCAATCTGCTTTAATTTAAATTGTACCCTGAAATATTCCATTAATCAGATTCTTCAGCCAAGTATTCAGACCTCTAGGTACCATTATTCATTCTGCAGGTGGTTGTGAGATGTGTGTAAGTGTGTAACGGTCACTGCCACTTTTTCATCTGCTCTGTGTCCCTTCCTCTTGGGAAATGCCCCTTCCTCAAGCTATGTAATAATGATGGGGTTGTTATTTTCCCTGCCACAGGGTGGGCTGATGACCCAGGTTAGCCAAAGTGCACCATTCTCCTAGACACAGCAGTTGGTTCAAACTTGGCCTATTAGAGTTGTTTGGAGGAAATGATTTCGGTATTGGGGAAAAGAGTTACTTCTTCTGGATCACTAGCTAGGTGGATGATGAAGTTGCCAATAGCTATTTTTGCCATCCGGTAACAAGACCCAACAAAGAGGAAAATAGAACAATATTGATATTGATATTGATCCATAGACTTCCAGACCTCATCTGATAAAAGTAGGCACTAGACACAAAAGTCAGCAATTTATCATGTGACCTTGTATCAAATGATGAACTAGATCCACCAGGTTTTCTCTCAAAAATGTTAATTATAAAACAGAAAATATTAAACAGTTAAGGTGAAAGGTCACGAGATAGCACTGGAGCCCTACTGGAAAGACAGAATTGTGAGGAAGAAAACAAGAAAACATAAGCAGATGTCATGAAAATGTCCCATAAGAGAAAGAGAGTTGCATCTCTAGCATGATTTAGATTTCTCACAGTTTTCTAATTCTGGACACATTCAAGATGCAAATTGTCTGTTCATTTGAAACACATTTACTGAAAGCCTGCAAATGTTTAAAATACATGGTAGATTCTATTATTATGGAAAAATACTCATTTCCTCCCCGTCCCCTTCAAGGAAAAACACACTTCTCTTCCTCCTGACTTTAGGCTTGGCCAAGTATCTTAATTTGGCTAACAGGATGTTAGCAGGGGCTTAAAATGTGTTTTGGTGGTTTGATTTTCTCTCTTATACCTCTGTTATCACCATGAAAACATCAGCCAAGAGGTCCCAGGATGAGAGGCAAGTGCACCAAGCATGCAGAATAGTTACTTAGCTGATCAAAGCCTATGTCAATTCCCAGGTGGCCCACAAACAGAATAAACGCTCACTGCTACATGCCATTGTGATAGTGTAGTTGTTTGTTACTCAGCAACAATTAACTGATACAATACACTGAGGATGAGGTGCTGTGGGCCACTTAAAGCAGTCCTTACTCTCAGGCTTTCGATAACACATAACCGTATTTACTAAAAATCCACTAGCCAGGTCCTGTGCAGAGGCTGGAGATTAATAAAACATCAACTTTTCCCACGGAGAACACCTTCTAGTGAGAAAGATGGACTCTGATCAAATGTAATGTAGGCAGCAAATTAGAACGAAAATAAGTGGGGAAGGGTATAGCTCGGTGCTAGAGCGGGTGCTTAGCATGCACGAGGTCCTGGGTTCAATCCCCAGTACCTCCATTAAGATTTTTTAAATAAATAAATAAACAGAATGAAAAAAAGTAGTGGTCAACTAGAGTTTTTACTATATCAAGTTATCACTGACGTCATCACAGTAAGATTTGCTTGATCATTTTAAAGCCCTAATTTACTATTTTGATAATTCAACTTTAACTGATGTTTACTTTACTATAAAAAGTTCCGACGATAATGATCTATGAGAACATGGATTTTATTATGCTATCATACCATTTGTAACATTAATAGCAAAACCAGATCATTAATGCTCTGCAAAGGCTTTCAATGCATCAGCAAAGAAATGATCTTTGAGTTGTGTCATGACAGCACTCGAAGGCCACTGCATGAAAAGATGACCCGAAACAATGGCAAACAAAGCAACCCCCAAAATACTTAACGCACAATCTCAAGTGGCAATGGCTGGGAAAGCCTCCTCGAAATACAAGTCGGAAATGCCAAGTCTCCTATTGAATAGTTTTCGGCAGGAATCCCGAGGCAGAAGCCTTAACACTGGGATATAAACAATAAACTGATTTCACTTCAAACAGTTTAAGAGCGTCAGCGATGTCAAATCAGAAATTTTTCGAACCTGCACACGACTGAAGTTACCAGCAACCGCAGAAACTTTCAAGTACTAGAAGATAACCACCATTAAACAAATCAATACACTCAAAACTAGTCCACCTTAGACACCGAGATTCTCGCTGATCACCTCTAACTACAAGATAAGCATGTCACTCACTTACACAAGAAAAAGGTGGGGGGCAGCTCTTGCAACTGCCTTCACTCTCCGCTCTACGGAAGAAACCGAAGCAACACGTGCAACGTCACAGTCCCAACAACAGTCAACCACGCTGATCACCAAGAGAGGGGCCAGACTTTGGACTAGAATCAGGCAAGGAGTTAAGAAGCAAGAAGAAACCTGGGGGAAAAGTAAAACAGAGCAGTATGGGGTGGTGAGCGGCGGACCCACCAATCCTACTGGCGAGCAAGGAGAAAAGACCCTCAGATGCAGACTAATGTCTAGAAAGGGACCTTCTACTTCGATCTGAGTTTCCTAGCCTTGGCTGCCTCCTCCCCGCCCAACGCCACCAGATTCCTCCCTTTTGGTGGGACGCTTAGGTGAAGTAAGGCGGCGCTTCTTAGCTGGCTCCTGGCAAAACTGCGAGGGCACTCCGGGAGCTGCCAAGGGGAGAGTAGCTGCTTGTCCGCTCGCTCCGTACCTGCGAGGGGAGTGGCCAGAGGCAAAGGTGAGTCGAGTGGCTTCTCCCTTACCTGCCGCAGTAGCTTCCACCGGGCAGCACCCAAGGGCGCCGAGACTGCGGGCCCCTGAGCGGCGCCGCTGCTAGCCGGACCCTCGCCCCCGGCGCGCTCTGCCTGGTTGGCCCCGGCGTCCGGGACTCGAGACTCCATCCCGCTGAAACCGCCTATACCCAAGCTGCCGCCGCCACAGCTCTCCCCTGCCAGGACTTACTTCTTTCCTGTCAGGACCTGTGACGCCAGGCCTCCCTCCCACTGCCCAAACGCGCGCGCCCTCCCCGAATTCCGCATTTCCGGTATCGCGTCTCCGTGGCAACCAGGGTAGCGCGGCTCACGTCACTGCACCATTTTGATGGTGGCCATCTTTACTGAGGGCAAGCCAAAGCGTGAGAGAACAGTGGCAGACCTAGTGGGACGGTGCCCCATTTGTTCCCCTCTCCTCTTCCTCACCTCAAGCTCTGAAGACTATCAAAGAACAAAAAGGCTTGTATCTTTGAAGGCTAAAGAACCCAGGAGGAGAGAAGTATATATAAGATGTCCATTTTTTTACCGCAGTAAAGATGGCGGAATCAGCTTAGTGCTCGTGCTACATAGGGGTTACGTAGACGGCGTGCTGCAAACCACCTCCCGGCGGCTCTGGGTAGGTTGTGGTGCTGCTAGCTGCAGAACGCACACTTCGGCAGGACGCGGCGGAGGTGGTAGCTGCTCTCAATCCTGAGAGCCTCTTCTTCTTCAGCCTGCCTTCATTTGTTTCGGTGTCTACAGCCAGATTATCTCAATTTGCGTATGTATGGGGGGCTTATGCTGGGAGTGGGTGTCTCTTCCCTTCGCCCCTTCCTTCCCCCACCCAACCATCCCTCAGTCCCTTGGTCCTAGCTTTTTAACCCCTGTCCCTTCACTTCATGGCACATGGTACCACTCCCTCTCGCAGTCGGGTCGCCTCATCTCTGCGGTGGAGAGTTGCACAAGGAAAAGGAATAGTTTCTTCCCGAAACAGCCATTCGTCCACCCCACCCCCACCCCTAGCTTTGCATATTGTTTTCTCCCTGCAAGTGAAAGATGGGTGGATTGAGGCTGCCGGCATGGATGTAGTGATTTAGGGATTTTATTTTATGTATCTGTTTTTCTTTTTGTTGGTGTCGGCTTCTGATCCTCTATCCCCTCCCTCCCGTTATTTTGCTGCGACATAGAAAGAGATTAAGGGGGGCAGGGGCGTCGTAGCGGATCCGAGCTGTGGTAAAGCTGACGCAGTATTGTGCCTTTGATACTGAGGGACATTTTATGGGAGACTTCCATGATAATATTCAACAGTGCGACGTAACCAGATTTTTCCTGTCCTAAAAATAATAGCCACCATTTATTGAGTGGTTACTACGTGCCGGATTGTATTAAGATCTTAACATAAATTATCTCATTTTATTCTCAGAACTACTACTCCAAAGAGTAAATGTCGTTATCTCTGTTTTGCAGATGAAGAAACTAGGCACAGGTGATAAGTGCAGGAGTGAAGACCTAAACGCAGGTCTCTGACCTAACTACTTACTAGCCTTACCTTGATTCATTAACAAGACCCAGCTTCCCAACAGGAAACAAGAGATGGCCTCACATTTCATTTGTGCTTACTGAAGTGTTGTTTTTTTAACTAAAGAGCTAAATACTTTTTTAACATTGAAGTCCAGTCATTGTTATGTCCAGATAGACTTAACTGCCCTCCTACTAACTGTCCAGGACTTGGACAGTTACCTGAGTCACAGTTTGC